CCCCAGAGTCGTTCATGACTGGACTTAACTGTCAGGGGTCCTTTACCTTTTTTTTTTGAAGGGTCAGTTAGGGGGATGAGTGAGAAATGCCCCTGTTTCCATCTGAGGGATGTTGGAGGGTATGAAATGTACAGCTAATCCGGAATGTGGCAGCTAGATTGGTGACTGGGAGCGACCGCCGAGACCATATAACACCAATCCTGAAAGTCCTTCATTGGCTCCCAATATATTTCCGAGCACAATTCAAAGTGTTGGTGCTGACCTTTAAAGCCCTAAATGGCCTTGGCCCAGGATACCCGAAGGAGCATCCCCACCCCCATCATTCTGCCCAGACACTGAGGTCCTTCTGGCGGTTTCCTCCCTGCGAGAAGCAAAGTAACAGGGTATCAGGCAGAGGGCCTTCTCGGTGGTGGCGCCCGCCCTGTGGAACGCCCTCCCATCAGATGTCAAGGAAACACCTGACTTTTAGAAGACAGCTGAAGGCAGCCCCCTTTAGGGAAGTTTTTAATGTCTGGTGTTTTATCGTGTTTTTGGTGTTCTGTTGGGAGCAATCCAGAGTGGCTGGGAAGGCCCAGCCAGATGGGCGGGGTATAAATGATAGATTATTACGCTGCAGGTGTGTCCTCTGCCAGTCCAGGGGGGGGGGGACTGGGCAGAGTCCTGGGATGGGAGATGAGTCAATTTGCAGCTCTGCAAGAAGAACGGGCTTGGTGAACTAACTCCCAGAAGCCATGGGGAGAGCAGAGAGACAGGTGTGGTGGTCGAGAAAGGCAAGACGGTGAGGTCACAAAGGGCCAGGGAGAAAGTTCTAGGAGGCCACTTGGAGGAAGTGGCTGGGGTCATTTAGGAGAAGCCAACAGGCCCAGCCTGTTGAGAGGGCAGAGGAAAAGGGCAAAGCACCTGGTCAGACCTACCTCTCACCTCTGCCGCAACGCTTCAGTCTCATGGAAACGCAGGTCAACATCTTGAGGAAACGGCTCCTCTTCTAGAGACTCGCAAAGCTCCCCTTCAAGCCAGCCCCAGTCGCGTTGACCTTCGTGGTAGGATTCAGCACAGCCCTAAGATCTCTGAAAGCACCACCAGCTATGCGACTTCTCTTTCCGCCACCTTCCCGCGTGCTTGCCATGTTCCTGGTCCTCCAAGTCCAAGCGGGGAGAGCCTTCATCCGCGCCGTCCACAGCCACAACTCCCCCAGCCTCGATTTCAGGGCCCTGCCCGCTCTTTTTGGGCCCCTGCTCCCCACGGAAGGGCTCACGGGGTCCCTGGTTGAAGCGAGCCCCGCAAACGCCTGCCACCCCATCGAAGGTCCGCCCAATGCCTCCTCAACCTTCATAGTGCTCATCCGCCGATACAACTGTTCCTTTACCACCAAGGTCCTCCACGCCCAGCAAGCTGGCTTCCACGCTGCCATCATCTACAACGTCGACTCCCAGACGCTCGTGAGCATGGTGAGAGAGCCAGACACCATGCATCACATCCGTATCCCTGCTGTGTTCACGACAGATGTGGCCTCCAGGATCCTGAAGCGGCTTCATGGCGCCGGCAAGCTGAGCTCGGTGGTCCTGATGCCCGAATACTTCCACTTTACCTGGAAGGTGGCTTCTGGGACCACCCAAATTTCCTCCTCGCACCCCTGCAGGTGTCACATCCAGCTGCCCGGGCCCTGCTCTCAGCTTTCACTTCTCCACACTTTCTGGTTCTTCTGCATCCCGGTGTCTGCCTTGATAGCCGCATTGCTCATTGAGAAATACCTCTTGAGGTGCCACAGGTGGAAGGTGGGGAGAAGTTTCCGCCTCCAAGGAAACAGGGGGGAGCTGCTCACCTTCTCCTTCCCCAGCTCCAGGTACCAGGAATGCGCCATCTGCTTGGAGAAGTACGTTGAGAGGGACAGCCTGAAGGTCCTTTCCTGCTCGCACGCATTTCATAGCAAGTGCATCGACCTCTGGCACATCACCCAAGCCAGGAGCAAGACCTGCCCTCTCTGCATGCAGAGGGTCATGGTGGTCACCCGTTTGCAAGCGGTGAGGCTGTGGAAAGAGGGGGCCGCGAGGGACAGCCACCGGACCCCGTGGCCCAGCAAAGCCAGAACCGCCGTGGACCAACGAGCTTGCCTCTTGTTCCCCCAGCAACTCCCTTCCCGGTTCTGAAAAATATAATAAAACCAAGAATGAGGAAGGTGTGGTCCCTCCTGTTGCAATGACCAAGGAAGGGGCAATAATCAGCCATGGAGGGCTGGAGGAGGATGTGGAATATGTGGAGGAGGATGTGGAATATGTGGAGGAGGATGTGGAATATGTGGAGGAGGATGTGGAATATGGGGAGGGGAGGGAGAGAGAATGACCGGTTTCTCTGTTACAGTGATAAACCCCAAAAGTTTGGCCAAAACGGGAGTTCTGCCCAGAGCTTCTTGGCAACCAGAAAGGAAGGCAAACAACTGACCCATGGGGCAGGGGGGGTGGGAGAGAGAATGGATAGGAAATAATGACAGTGCAGGAGATTGCCGCAATTTATTCTGCTCCGCAATGTTAGTGGCAAAAAGTTAGTTAGTGGCCTTTCTGATGAGGATCAGAAAATACAGAGAGTATTTATTTGGCACCTGGCCAAAACACGGCAGCTGGAAGGTGATTATTTTATTTATTTATTTAATAATAATAATAATAATAATAAATTTTATTTATATCCCGCCCTCCCCAGCCAAAGCCAGGCTCAGGGCGGCTAACAACAATCAAATAATCAAACAATCAAATAATCCAACATTCTAAAACATTTCATTATAAAAATTAATTAAAATCAAATTAATGGCAACCGTTAAGCAAAGTTCTGTGCAGGTTGCCAGAGGAGGGAGTCAGGCTGGGCCCTGACCAAAGGCCTGGTGGAACAGCTCTGTCTTGCAGGCCCTGCGGAAAGATGTCAGGTCCCGCAGGGCCCTAGTCTCTTGTGACAGAGCGTTCCACCAGATTGGAGCCACAGCCGAGAAAGCCCTGGCTCTAGTTGAGGCCAGCCTAACCTCTCTGAGGCCTGGGACCTTCAGGATGTTTTTATTTGCAGACCGTAGGTTCCTCTGTGGGGCATACCAGGAGAGGCGGCCCCGTAGGTACGAGGGTCCTAGGCCGTATAGGGCTTTAAAGGTTAAAACCAGCACCTTAAACCTGATCCTGTACTCCACCGGGAGCCAGTGCAGCTGGTATAGTACCGGGTGAATGTGATCTCGCAGCGAAGACCCCGTAAGGAGTCTCGCCGCGGCATTCTGCACCTGCTGGAGTTTCTGGGTCAGTCTCAAGGGCAGCCCCACGTAGAGCGAGTTACAATAATCCAGTCTGGAGGTGACCGTCGCGTGGATCACAGTGGCTAGGTCAGGGCGAGAGAGATAAGGGGCCAACTGCTTAGCTTGGCGGAGATGGAAAAATGCCGCCTTTTAATTGGTTGGTTGGTTGGTTTTTCAAATTAAAATTTTACAGAGATATATCCAACATAAATCATAAAAACAAGATTCCAAGGAATCTCCTGAACTTACATCCTCCCCTTTGTGGGTCCTATTATTAATCAATTCCTCCTGCGTTTTGATGATCATCCAGACCCTTTACCCTCTTCCATTAATGTCCAGAATTCAACCTTAAACGACAAGTGCTATTCCAATCCTACTAACGATTTTAACTGTTTACAATGGTCTTTAAGGAAAGTTATAAATTTTCTCTATTCTTTGTTAACATTTTGGTCCTCCTGATTTCTGAAACTTCTGGTCATTTTAGCCATTTCAGCATAATCCATCAACTTCATCTGCCATTCTTCTCTGGTAGCGACTTTATCTCCTTTCCATCTCTGGGCCAATAACATCTGCACAGCTGTGGTCGCATACATAAATAGTCTTTTCTGCTCCCTTGGGATTTTGGCACCTAGAATTCTTAAAAGTAAGGCTTCAGGCTTTTTAACAAAGGTTTTAAACATTTTTTTTCAACTCATTATATATCATCTCCCAAAATCCTTTTACTGCCTTACAATTCCACCACATATGGTCAAAGGTGCCTTCTTTTTCCTTACAATTCCAGCGTACATTTGAGCATGTTTTATACAGTACATTTTTGCTAATTTAAGGTAAAGGTAAAGGGACCCCTGACCATTAGGTCCAGTCGTGACCCACTCTGGGGTTGTGGCACTCATCTCGCTTTATTGGCCAAGGGAGCCGGCGTACAGCTTCCGGGTCATGTGGCCAGCAGGACTAAGCCGCTTCTGGTGAACAAGAGCAGCGCACGGAAATGCCATTTACCTTCCTGCCGGAGCGGTACCTATTTATCTACTTGCATGTTGACATGCTTTCGAACTGCTAGGTTGGCAGGAGCAGGGACCGAGCAATGGGAGCTCACCCCATCGCAGAGATTCGAACCACCGACCTTCTGATTGGCAAGTCCTAGGCTCTGTGGTTTAACCCACAGCACCACCCGCATCCCTTTTGCTAATTTACTAGGAGTTAAATACCATTGGTACATCATTTCCATTTGCAGCGTATATATATTTTTTGCAGCGTGTAACATGCCGTGAACTTTAAATCCCAATTCCATAACTTCTCCCAAGCTGTAAGCTGTATGTTGTGCCCAAAATCTCTTGCCCAGAAGGTGATTCTTTTGCTGCAACTCCTGCATTGCAGAGGGTGGAGTAGATGAACCTTGGGTGTCCCACTTTGCAGGCCTATGATTCTATATTGCTGGTTTCTTGACTCCCATCAACCCTGACAGTGGTCCAAGCTTCTTACCCTCCCCCTCTCTGTGTTTTTTCCTTTCTTCGAAGTTTTAATTATTATTATTATCAATGTAAAGATGCCAACAAACAACAGAGAAAATGTAATCAAAGTTATAAATCAAAGGCAGGCACCCCCAACTTCGGCCCTCCAGCTGTTTTGGGACTGCAATTCCCATCATCCCTGAACACTGGTCCTGTTAGCTAGGGATGATGGGAGTTGTAGTCCCAAAACAGCTGGAAAGCCAAGTTTGGGGATGCCGGATCAAAGGGAGCAGTACAAAGGATGTGCCATATTTTTTGCTCTATAACGCACCAGACCACAAGACGCACCTAGTTTTTGGAGGAGGAAAACAAGAAAAAAATTATTCTGGATCTCAGAAGCCAGAACAGCAAGAGGGATCGCTGCGCAGCGAAAGCAGCAATCCCTCTCACTGTTCTGGCTTCCGGGATAGCTTCTCAGCCTGCATTCGCTCCATAAGACGCACACACATTTCCCCTTACTTTTTAGGAGGGAAAAGTGAGTCTTATAGAGCAAAAAATACGGTATTTTTCCAAGTGGAGAGCAGAGAATTTAGAAAACATAAGGGCAACAAAACGTATCATGAAAGCCAAATTTCACAAACCGGTGTGGGAAGAGACTTTGACGCAGCAGGAATAAACCATGCCTTTATGAGGAGCAATTGAGGGACTTGGTTATGTTCAGCCTGGAGAGGAGGTGGCTGAGAGGGCAGGACCCAAATGAATGGACTCAAATGGCAAGAAAGGAGATTCTGATTCAATGTTAGGAAGGACATCCTAGTGGTAAGAGTTGTTCAACAATGAAATGAATGGCCTTGGGCGATGGTGGGCTTCCCTTCATTGGAGCTTGGACGGCCATCTGTCAGGGATGCTTGAGCTGAGATTCGTGCCTTTCAGCGGGTTGGTCTAGATGGCCCCTTGGGGTCCCTTCCAACTCTACAATTCTGGGATGCAGTCTAAATGGGAGGTCGCTCATCAAAATGCACCCAGAAGCTGGGTTTTGAAGTGTTTCATTTACAAAAGTTAGAAAAAATGCAACCTGTGTTGCAGATAGAAGTAGTACGACTCATGCAACGCGTTGGCGGCTAATATACACACAATAATCACCAAAATCATTATGCATTCTTTATCAATCTCCTGAGAAAAATACAAAAACTTACGCAGAGCCACAGAGACTACCCAACCTAAGATGAACTTATAATGTCTGATTTCAATGGATTTTTCAAAGACTGAGTTAAGCATTTGAAAAATTAGTAATGAAAGAGTGTGTTTATATCCAGATCCAAACAGGGTAACCTTGCTAAGCAAATCAGTCTCTTAAGCTTAAGCCAAGAAATACTATTCTCTATGAAATGTAAGTATATTTGTACAAAGTTTTGTAGTAAGTCTCATTTCACATATAATGGATATGTATTTTTGATTTAATTGAATATTTAGGTAAAGGTAAAGGGACCCCTGACCATTAGGTCCAGTCGTGGACGACTCTGGGGTTGCGGCGCTCATCTCGCTTTACTGGCCGAGGGAGCTGGCATACAGCTTCTGGGTCATGTGGCCAGCATAACTAAGCCGCTTCTGGCAAACCAGAGCAGCGCACGGATACACTGTTTACCTTCCCGCCAGAGTGGTACCTATTTATCTACTTGCACTTTGACGTGCTTTTGAACTGCTAGGTTGGCAGGAGCAGGGACCGAGCAATGGGAGCTCACCCCGTCATTGCGGGGATTCGAACCACCAACCTTCTGATCGGCAAGTCCTAGGCTAGGTTTAACCCACAGCGCCACCCTTTAATTGAATATTTAGAAGTGCATTAAGTTATTTCTATTAAGATTTGGTTTGAATTATTATTAGTGAATATCAATATATGCATCAAGGCTTTGAGACTGGACCACTGAAGGAGCCAGGAAAGCTACCTTGGGAGTGTGCTACCTGCAAGCCCCAGTAAAAGGGCCCCATCAGGGACAAACAGCGGTCTCTTGATTATTTGGATTGCCAGGGCGAAACAGGTGCAAAACGCCGACACCCTGTCCACAACTTCATTAACATCCATCTACAACTTCACTAGCATCTCTTGGTATTGTGAACAACACTGAACTTACCTTTTGTTGGTACATTCATGAACTCATTTACAAAGGTTAGCAGTTGACCAACTTGATGAAGGCAGAAGCCAGGGGTACTACGCTTTCCAGACTGACTTCCTGATCGGCCCACTTGAAGCTAGATTATAATTCTTCATCGAGGGCCACTCAGAATACAAGACAGATCCCTCTTC